CTTACTCACTCACTCACTCTCATTCACACACTCACTCTCTCACTGACTCATTCACTCACTCACTCACTCACTCACTCATTTACTGACTCACTTTCTCACTGACTCATTCACTCACTCTCTCACCCTCTAATTCCCTCACTCTCACTCACTGACTCATTCACTCACTGACTCACTCTCTCACTCACTCTCTCAAAAAAAAAATAAAAGAAAAAAAAATACTTCAGAGCTATTTCTAAAAGATAATAGTTATTCATTTTTTTATCATAGTGGTCCCATAACCATAAATAACTCTTCTTGTTGTGGGTTATTGACTTTTTTCAAGCTTTTTCTTTGTGAATATGCTGGCACATATTTTAACCAAATGAAAAAAATTCCTATTTAAAACTAGAAGGCATGTAAGAAACTTCAGGAAATTCATGGGAAAAAAAGAAGTAAGAGAGAATGGAGCTTTTCCATGAACCTTTTGAACCCCGTGCATATATATATATATATATATATATATAAATCTATTTATTGGGGCTCATACAATTCATCACAATACATAGATCACCCCATACATATTTTAAAATTGCAACTAGTAAAAAAAATAAAAAAATTAAAAAAATAAAATTGCAACTAGTGTCTGCTCTATCACTTTCCACACTCGCCCCCCACCAGTCATCTCAAATTGTTTTAGTCTCGTAATGCTGTAAATGCCTTGATAGTTTTCAGCAATGTTTTCCTGCTATTCCTAGAGTTTTTTGTTTTAAACAATACTTCTCACCTAATTTGAAGAGTAAGGGAGCAATAATTTTGTTAATTTTGGCATCGTAATAGCTCATTGTAGTTTATTGGGGGGAAACTTGATTGTTAACAGCTATAGATTTATTCATCAAACTTTCACATCACCTTTTGCTTCATGCAGATCGATCTCTATAGTGCAACACTGCGTTGCTCATTTTCAGCTATAATAGAGTAAAATATGAAGCGTTTAACTCTTAAACATTACGAATACTAAATTTTCATTCCCAGATGCCTATATTAAATCAATTCTAAATGTTAGGTTCTTTTGCATTCTATAAGAAACACAGAAATCAGTAAGAAAACGGCTTGCTAATTCTTGTGTAGAAGCAAGCCATGCGTGTGGCATGTTAAGTGTGTATCAGAAACGCGAGTGCAAAGTAGTACAGTCGTACAGTGTGAGGGAAAGCCCTTTGACTGGCCTTGGCCAGAGGGTATCCTTGTCCCTTCTGGCGGGTCGTTGAAGGTGGTGCTTTTGCCTCTGTAAGGACGGAAATTCCATGACAACTATCGTTCCAAATTGAAGTTTAAGATATGGCAGAAGAATACAAGGGCATTTCTATTGTAGGCCGGCCACTGTGTTTACTTTTGTAATTCCCACTCTGAATATCAGCCTTTTACATTTGTTGTTATTTTCAAGAAAATATGTACCTAAACAATCCACATAATTTTGCCTGTAGCATCTGGCTGCTGTGGAAGAGAGGAAGATCAAGTCCTTGGTGGCCCTCCTGGTTGAGACTCAGATGAAGAAACTAGAGATCAAGCTTCGACATTTTGAAGAGCTGGAAACAATCATGGACAGAGAGAAAGAGGCTGTAAGTAGGGGAAGTTCATCATACTTCTTGACTTTCATTGGACGAAACAAGTGATAGCCTACTCTTTCTGGCTCTAGCTGTTTGCATTGCCCTTGCAAAAGCATGATCAGTTGGGATGCTGTTGAAGGGGCACGAGTGGCACAGTGGGACACACACTTGGCTGCTTCCCCCAGGAGGAAGATGAGGGTTTCTGCTTTGCAGCTGCAGAAGCCAGCTCTGCTCTGTCCACACGGTCCTTAGCAGTCACATCGCTGAGTTTGGTTGTTGTCTTTGGAGGGATACGTAATAAAGGGACTTATCACTTTATGAAACCAATTATTTAAACCCCAACTTCATATTGTCTTGTGGTTTTCCACATCACATGATGGCATCCGCTTCTATCATCTACAAAAGTTGTGCCTACTTGTAACCAATGAAATAGAATGCTTGTGTTCATCTTCACAGTTCAGAGATGTTCTTAATTTCATATTGTCTGTAAGATACAAGAACCTACAAACGTTTGTGGGGGCATTTCCATTATCTTCTAATTTCATTTCTTTTTTTTTAAATCGTTTTATTAGGGGCTTATATAACTCTTATCACAATCCATACATACATCAATTGTGTAAAGCACATTTGTACATTCATTGCCCTCATCATTCTCAAAACATTTTCTCTCCACTTAAGCCCCCGGCATTAGGTCCTCCTAATTTCATTTCTATGAACTATTTGAAGGCCTCTCATACGAGGGAGTACTGCGCCCCCCGCCCCCCCCAAAAAAAAAAAAAAAGAAGAAAGAAAAAAGATGCCCTGGGTGGAGCTTTCGTAGTACGTATTTTTCTCTGCTAGGTGAGCCTCCAGCAACTCAGGTTCTGAGTTAGTGCGCCCAGCGGCATCGCCTGGGAAAGTTCTCTCTCCTCACAGTGAATTTTTTCGCGAAAGCAGATTTGCTTCAACCTCGTCTTCTGTGATGGCAGATTTCAGAGAACAGCGTGGGGCTGTGGAATTTTTTTCCTGCTTTGGGGGGAAATGCCACAGAAACTGTTGTGATGCTGAACACTGCTCATAAGAACAGTGCTATGGGAAAAACTCAAGTGTGTGTGTGGTTTTCTCTTTTCCAAAAAGGTAAAAGGTGAAATGTCAATTGATGACAAACCTCGTTCTAGACATCCATCAACTTCCCGACCAGACAAAAATGTCAGTAAAATTCGTGCCCTCGTGCTTGAAGGCCAAAGGCGGGCCATTGAAGAGATGGGGAAGCTATCTGGACTATTTTGGCGCTCGGTTCAGCCGATTTTAACATAAGATTTGGGAATGAGAAGGACCCCTGGGAAATGTGTGCCTCGGGTGGAAACATGCTGTGCTTTGAAAGAACAGCTCTGAAGTGACCCACTTTTTTTTTTGGTCCAGGTCATTACTAGTAAGGAGACATAGTGCTATTCTTAGAACCCTGAAAGCAAACATCACTCAAACTAATAGCAGATGCCACCATCACCTCACCCAAATAGTGCTCGTCAAGTGGAAGCAGAGGTCAAGACGAGGCTCGTTTGTGTGGGTTTTTTGTTGGTGTTTTTTTTTTCTCATTTGTTTTTGTGATGTGAGGGGAATAGTGCATTTGGAATTCATTCCACCAGGCCAGACTGTTCATCAACCTTTCTTTCTATTTAGAGGTTCTGAAAAGATAGCATAACAGTGTGTGACCAAAAAGGTCTGATTTTGTGGCAGACGGGGGACTGGTTGTGCCACCACAACCATGTACTGCTCATGCAGCCATCTCAGTGCGCCAGTTTTTGGCAAAACCAGCATGCCTCTCTTGCCACACGCACCTGACTCGTACCTGACCTCGTTCCATGAGGCTTTTTTTTTTCTGGTTTCCTGAATTGAAGAGGAACATGAAAGGGCAGCGATTTGATGACATATAAGTGGTGAAGAAGATACAGAGGAGGTGCAGTCAGCCATCCAAACAAATGAGTTTGAAAAATGTTTCCTTGAATGGAATTGCAGATTTGATAGATGTATTAAGTGTAATGGAGAATACTTTGAAGGTGATAGGTTGTTCTGTAAAAAAGTAAATACATAGCTTTTTTTGGGGGGGGGGTCCAACTTTTTTTAGGGGGATTACCCTCTTGTAGTTCTTAATCTCATTCTTAGTTAGGGTCATCGGTTTGTGTGCTGACATTTAACCAGTACCCTTCTCAGGCCCCGTCCTTGGGTGTGTCACTCTTAACCTTCCCCTGGCTGCATTGCGAAGGGGATGGAGCCAGGTTTACCTTGAGCTCCTAGACCTCATGCTTAACAGCCTGAAACTTCCGACAGGACTGAGGGCTTATGGAAAAGACCAAAAAACAAGGAAGGGAACAACAAAAAGTGAACAAAATGTGTAAGTTGGGCAATAATGGGTTCTCTCAAGAGACTTTTATAGTTGGGGAAAAAACCTTTTGGGGTCTTGTTTAGTTTTGCTTCCTTTTGTTTAATGGGTTGACTGATATGCATAAGTATCTATGCATACCAGCACCAGGAGGAGAAGGCTGCTCTGTGCCTGAGTAACTCCGGATACCCACTCACTACACCTCTCGCACACTTGGTCCCCGTGTTCAATCCAGGAACTTCTCTAGCATCTCTCAGCCACTGTTCCTACCATGCCAGTCCACAGCAGGCTTCCCTCGTGCTTCGTGCTTCGTTCTTTTCCACTGTCTAGGCACCCTGCTTCTCCAACAAGGAGGAAGGCCCTTTTCTCCATGCTGAGATCGGCTTTGCTGGGTGGTTCTTTGACAAGGTGCCTGTCTTTTCAAGGCTCAGTTGGGGTTTGGACGAACTATACCCTCACTCAGTCACATGGCTATTGACAGGAAACTTCCGTCCTTGTCACCTAGGCCTCTCCATGAGACTGCTCATGCGGTGGCTTCCACAGAGATTTAAAAGAGCAGGAACACAAGAGGTACCCAAAGTGGAAGCCAAATGTCTATTTTATAACCTAACAGTGAGCTTGTAAGTCACATGTCATCTCTTCTTTATTCCTTTGATCAAGCAAACCCCTTCCCCCCACCCCCCACCCCCAGCTATTCGGGAAGAGGCGTAAGTACTAGACAGTGGGATCACTGCAGGCCAGTGTGGAGGTTGGCTGTCCCAACAACCAGAAACAGCCCTTCAAAGTGTCAACCACTCACCTCATGAACAACTGAGACATGATCTTTTCTTCTTCCATCCCACTGCTAGTGTTCTTCCCTCCAGGCAAGCAAAGCCATGGCTGAGTTTCTACCAATGATAGACTGTGTGCCCCAGCATAATGCCTGGCACACAAGGTTCAGTAAATACCTCCATTTGGCTGTAGCAGTATTCAATAAATCTATTTCAAATTCCTAATGTGTATAAATGCCCATTGGCCTTGTGAATATCTATTGTGTTAAGGGGCTTTCCATAGGTTTTATCGTTTATTTTTCCAAAAGCTGCTTTAGGGAGACCTGAGAATACTGAGTGGTAACTTGGAAAAGGTGAATTAATTACCTCAGATCATGCAGTTCGTAAGTGACAGGGCTGTGTGACTTTATGTTTAGGTACTCTTCATCGTTTTTAAAGAAATTATCCATCCTTTCTCCTTATAACTCAGAACCTCTGCTGTCATCCCTCTGTTTTGAACAAAGGAAGATGAGACTCTGGGAATTGAGCCGGTCAGCTAGCCCTAACTTACTGCCTGGTGCCCTCCTGTCCAAGAGTCCTGCCTTTTAAGGGTGCGGGCTGGCTCATCTTGAACCAGTGGCCAGTAGCTTTTTGCTCAGGCTGTGGGGACCCACTGTGCAAGCCCTGTGTCAGTTCATCTCAAGTAAGCAGTAGCTTGTTTAGAATAACTTCTCTTTTCTAGTCAAGCATTGGGTGGTGTTTATAATGCAATAAATTTCAAAATTCTTTCCTTAGCTTTTCAGAATTGGGTATTTTCTCTAATGGCTTAAAACCAGATGGTATCTTGAGTCTTCTTTAGTAATTAAGAATAAAGACGTTTAAAAATCTCTGATAGCTGTTGCAAGTTCAGCATGTTACAAGGTTAGTAGCTCTTGTTCCAGCTCCCCTCCCGTTCAAGAAAGGGTAACGTCTGCTAGGGAAAGAGCATGCTAACAGTGTTCACTTCAGGTGAGGTGTGTGCTGCCGGCATTGGGCCCTCAACTGAGAGCGTGGGCCAGGTAGCGTGCACAGCAAGCAACTGGAGAGCACTGCAGTATTCCTGTTTGGATTTCCCCCCCAGCAGTTTTATTGGCATCTAATTCACAAACTATACTATTCAGTAGTTCAATCACGTTGAGAGTTGTACAGTCATCACCACATCGTTCTTACGCTCATCGTGGTAGCCCCGCATTTCCCCCCACTCTCCCCTACCATACACCCAAGGAATCATCAATCCAGTTACTGACCAAAGATTTGCCTTTCTTGGGTTTCATATACAATAAAATATTTAAGAACCAAAAAAAGAACAATAATGACAAAACAAAACCTCAATCAAAAAAGGTTTTTTTGATTACTAAAACTAATCTTTTAAATGGGTCAAAGGGAGATCAAATGATAAGATGTTAATTTTTAACTTAACTACATCTGCAGTAATCTTTCCAGTGCGTTCTCTAGGATAGCAAGACTGTTCACATCCCTGATCTGTGGACAGAGGGGATTCACCAGAGTCTTAATCCACGAGTGGACCTTGCAAATAGATTTGGGCTTCCACTGTCATCCACAGCCTTCTTCAAACCAACTGTTCAAAATTTAAGCTGCAATGCTCTTCCCTCCTTGGATTTGGATTTGATTGGATCACACAGACCTCTTCCATATGGGTGTAGTTAACGCCTCACTTACATAGCTACTGTTGAAGATGAACTTTTATGACCCCACGTGCCATTCCTTCCAATAGCCGTGCTCCTAGTTTCTGCACTGCACTTTGCTGTGGCACCCATAGCGACAGTGGTGTTCATGAGTTTGAGCATCAAGCACTCGTTCTTAGATTGGGGCTAGAACTAGTTTTCAGCCCGAAATCCATACATATGTCTGTGGTTTATACATATAATATGGATTTGTAGAGAACTCTGAAAAAAGATGTGTGAGCTAATCCATTTTTGCAGTGGAAAGCCCCTGAAGTGTGAAGGTGATTTGACTTGATAAAGAAATTTTACAGTTTCAGAAGGAGACATAAAAAATTCAGAATGGTTGAATTACCCTGACCTAATGTTTTTAGAGGCTAGATCATGTGGATACGTGAAGAGAGCCAATAATCAATGGGTACTCAGGATTTCCAACTTAACGAACTAACTGTGCAAGTTCAGAGGGAGAAGGCCATGGGTGGCTGAGATGAGGGAAACCTTGGGGTGGGGGAGGGAGGCGGGGGGAGGGGATTGGTCTCATTTGTAAGACTGGCCCAGATCTAGGCACAAGTAAAGGCTTGAGAGTTCCGGAGCCTGTCCTCCATCTGTCTGCCTGCATCTCCACCCCGACACACACACATGCATTCAGACTGCCCTCACGCCCTCCAGTGCTGCACACTGCATTTCGCTTTTCCTCTTTTCCCACAGGTGTAGGAATTTCTGGCCACCTAAACCAAGCCCTTAAAAGGAAGATGAGATCCTTTTCTTCCGTTTTGAGCCTCGGGTATTCGCTGACATTTCAGTCCTTGGCAGTGTAGATGGATTTCTGTGGCCACGACCATCTCCTGCTCTTTCCCACCCCGTCTCCCTTCTTGTGTCAGAGAGAAGTTGGGAGAAGAGCTTTGTGTGAACTTCAGCTGCACTTGCAGCTGTGCCTGTGTCTGGTGTCTCAGTGGAGAAGAGCGCTCTGTTCAGGTTCCGCTGGATGTGGCTGCTTTACACACAGGCAGCGTAGCCGTGGGGCAGAGAAGGGGGGGCAGAGTGCCTTCAGGGCAGGACTCCAGGCAGCCTTGTATGAAATGGGTTGCCTGCAGCCAGATTGGAGCTTTGAAAGAAAGTGAGCACTTTCATTAGCACCCTATTTACATCCGTAATTCACTCAACAGCATCCTGGCTGTTGGGACTTATCAGTCCTGTCAGGAAATGGAGATGGAGTCAAAGCAAACAAGGTGTCTGTAGCTTCATAGCTGAGCCATTTTCCATGCTTCATATTTTTTCATTGTAAAAATTATATGATAAATTAATAAATTCATGACTCTCCTCAACAGTTTCACTCCTGAGGATTACCACTTTTCATAGTTTGGTATCTTCCAGAACGGTTACATGGCGCATATAAATATGTTTAAACATGTGCTTTATATAATATTTTTATACACTTGGGATTGTACTTTATATTATCGCAACTTTGCTTTTATCCGCTACTGAGTATACTTTGGACAAAACTGTCTGCCTAAAACAATGCATCGGGACGGTCCATCTATATACATAGGTGTCCTGGGGCAGGTTTTCAGAAGGACAGTCATCATGTCACCAGTTACATGCGTGTCAGGTGTGCTCCCGACTGCCAAATTCCCAGTCACCACTCTGACTACCACAAAAGTGAATGCGGTCCATAACTGGATTTAAAAATACACGCTGTCCCGAACATCTTGTCTGAGGTCAGGACGTGGCTACATGAATGAGCCTGGAGCGGAGCTCTGCCTGCCTGCCTGTCACCTGGGCGTGGCTCACCCCAGGTTGGGCTTCCCTGTGTGTGGGTGTTTTGTCCTTTTAATGATACCTTTTAATTGACAAGTGAGGCTCCAGGATAAATAAGATAAATTGATGGCAGTCCAGACTGTAAACAAGAATAAACAACTTCTTCCCAACTGGCTCTCCCATCCTTTTAACAAAAGATTTTTCTTTCAGAGGTTAATACTTCCAATACAAAGGTCAGCAGCAAAAGCAAGGCTAGTTCATTTCAAAAGCAACTAAATAGCACTAAGGGAATGCAGAAACCAAACTCTCCCTTCAGAGACAAAGAAAAAAAATCTTGACCTAAATTTTGTAGTTTCTTATGTAACTGTAGGACTTCAGCCAAGCTGTCCTGGCCAATCGTGGTGCAGCCAGTCCATAGGTGGGAGGTGCTCTTCTGGTCTACTTGCCTCAGCCAATTTTCCTAAAGTCCTGCACTGCCTTAATGAAGGATTATTCCAAACGGACCCCTTACCGGTGTGGCCAGTTCTTCTCATGTTGACCCTAAAGGGCAGGGTACAGCACCTCCTGTCTGGCTTCCAAGGCTGCAACCTTTACAACGGATGTGTGGGAACTGCAAGCCTCTGGGATGCCAGCGAGTGTTCAACCAACACGCCAGCCGCCCCTTCCCAATGAGCATATCCTATACAGTTACTGCTTTTTTTTTCTTTTTCTTTTTTGACATTTTATTGAGGGCTCTTACAGCAATTGTTGCAATCCAAAAAATCGATTGTGTCAACCACATTTGTAAATATGTTTCCATCATTATTTTCTAGACATTTATTTTCTATTGAGCCCTTGGTGTCAGC